GAAAGGAGGGTCTGGAGAATTGGATACTCACAGGTCGAATAGAGGGAAAAAGAGACAAGGGAGAGCAAAGCATGATATTCCTGGCGGGTTTAAGCAAGTGGATGGCAGAACGTAGTCTGGGGGAGTTAGCAGAGGCACAAAACTTATTGGGGGCTACAAGGGATAAGGTGGAGAGCCATGATCGCCTGACGTCTTGAAAGGACACGGCACATAAAAATAAGCCGAGGTCACATTTGGAATCAGAGCATAGGTCTTGGGTGTATTAGTGTAGGTGATTATAATATCGTTGGTGGGGTTTGGCATAAACCTTTCTTCAGGATCAAAATCAACACTAGTTAAGTGTTTGATAGTCTGGCGGGTCTGTGCCGAGGCCGAAGTGTTGAAGCCGAACTGCCTGTCGTTTTTATATCTTTGGTTTAACAGGCGCAGGCTCCCAGGGACATCCTTTTGGGGGCGGTAATGTTCGTAAATGGCTATTGTATTTTTGCGGGGATTTATTTTGGGGACCGGATGCGATGCATGGAGTTGAGATATCTGGAACACATAGTAAGGAAAGAAGACTTGGAGACTGTAACACTCACAGGACATATTAAAGACAAGAGGGGCATAGGGAAACAGTGAGTTTCTGTAAATCGATGGCAGAATGGGGAGTGGGAAGGATAGTAAGGAGACACATATTGCTTAAAGATAAAATAGATAGGAAGTTGTGGAGAGCCATGATCAAGCTACCTAACTTGTGTAAATGTATGATAGAACAGGGGATCGGAGTGATAGTAAAGAGACAAACATTACTTAATGCTACAAAGAATAGGACTTTGTGGAGAGCCATGATCAAGCTACCTAACGAGTTTATGTAAATGGTTGGCAGAAAAGTTTGTAATGTTTGTAATGATGGTCTTTATCATCTTTCAGGACCCAATAACGTGTAGGCATAATTATGGAAAATAAAGCATAATATATTTTTTTTTAAAAAACCATATAACAACAAAAACGTTTACGGTTTCTCTATTTTTATTATACACACTTTTCTCTTGTTTGAACTACTATAACCTCTTCGCTTTATATATATATATATATATGTATATGAGTAACTGAAGAATTATCTGTACTTTCGCTATAATATATTTTTAGGTTTGTCACACTGCCTTCTACTCGTGTGTGTTTATAGTTAGTACTATTGTGGTCATGTGATTGAAGATAGTTTTGTTGCTGCTGTTACAGTGTAAACATGGCCGCTCCACTAGCAGTGTTCACCAAGGAGGAACAATGAGCAGTGATTCAAATCTGCAGAGAACATACTATCTTATTGATGATAACTCACTGGTTTGCCATTAACATCTCTCAAGCTTGCTGAATCTTCTTTTCATTGGTGGAGGTTGATGGGCGTTCTGTTCCTTTTTTGTGTGTCATGCGTTTCCGACCATTTTTAAACTTCTCAAGCCACTCAAGCACATGTCTACATCGTAGTGCACTGTTGCCATATTGGTTTAAAAGCCTCTAATGAATTCCAGCTCCCTTCACTACTGATTACTTTTATGGATTTTTTCTTTTTAGATTTTTTAAATTATTTACAATAACGTCTTTTCTTTTCCTTTAAAAATAAGCTTGTCTTTTGTAAAGATAAAATATATTTTCCAAAATTACAGTGTGACAAGGATTATATCCTTAGGTCTGTAATATCCATAAGTTCAGATAACAGGAAAAAAGGGACAAACCACTACACCTGTTGAAATGACCAGGGAGGAGTGTGCCGGACGATAGGCAAATATATCTACTCCTATTGGGGAAAAATGAATAACTGAATATTAAATAAAACCGGAAACCCCATTGTAAACAGGAAACAAGGGATGAACCTCTACTCCTGTTGAAATGACTGGGGAAGATTGTGAACTGAACGAGAGGCGAACATATCTACTCCTAATGGTCAACAACAATAGCAGAAGAGTCCCTCGATAGTATCATATGGCTATGTGTCCATGATCAAGGTAACCCTTCCCTTTGAATGACATTGAAATATGGACTTTGCCAGGACAGGCTACACATGAATCATCTGGCCATCGATGTAGATAAATAATGGGAACTGATCAAGTGATCATTTTTATAGTAAAATCATCTGCAATGCATTTTATAGTAAAATCATTTAAAATATTTTATAGTAAAATCATTTGAAAAGCATATTTATAAAATCATTTTTAATGCATTTTTATAGTAAAATCATCTGCAATGCATTTTTATAGTAAAATCATTTGAAATGCATATTTATAAAATCATTTGCAATGCATTTTTATAGTAAAATCATTTTAATGCATTTTTATAGTAAAATCATTTTTAATGCATTTTTATAGTAAAATCATTTTAATGCATTTTTATAGTAAAATCATTTTAATGCATTTTTATAGTAAAATCATCTGCAATGCATTTTATAGTAAAATCATTTAAAATATTTTATAGTAAAATCATTTGAAATGCATATTTATAAAATCATTTGCAATGCATTTTCATAGTAAAATCATTTTTAATGCATTTTTATAGTAAAATCATTTAAAATATTTTATAGTAAAATCATTTGAAATGCATATTTATAAAATCATTTTAATGCATTTTTATAGTAAAATCATTTTTAATGCATTTTTATAGTAAAATCATTTTTAATGCATTTTTATAGTAAAATCATTTGAAATGCATATTTATAAAATCATTTGCAATGCATTTTTATAGTAAAATCATTTTAATGCATTTTTATAGTAAAATCATTTAAAATATTTTATAGTAAAATCATTTGAAATGCATATTTATAAAATCATTTTTAATGCATTTTTATAGTAAAATCATTTTTAATGCATTTTTATAGTAAAATCATTTTTAATGCATTTTTATAGTAAAATCATTTGAAATGCATAATTCTAAAATCATTTGCAATGCATTTTTATAAAAAATCATTTACAATGCATTTTTTGAATAAAATCATTTGCAATTCATTTTTATAATAAAATCATTTACAATGCATTTTTATAATAAAACCATTTGTGCAAGGCCCCTATAACCAGTCATGGGACTCATGATGATGATGATGATAATTACTGAAAGATAGTGTTTGGGTAGGTCACTTGGTGTGTTATGATTTAAACACCGGAAAGCAAAGGACAAACATCTATTACTGTCCAAAAGACCAGGTAGGGAGTGTGGACCAGACAATAGACAAACTCATCTACTCCTAGTAATAATGAACCACTGAACTGTATTCAGAAATAAGTTAAGTAATTACCATATTGAGAAGTCTCTAAGAATCATTCTTCAATATGGTCTGTGGAATAGACTCCCAAGAGAATGTTTCTTGATCAATTTTAACCTTTTCAAGTCTAGATTTAACTGTTATCTGCCTCTCCTATTTGTATAAACTATCCCTTAATGTAATCTTCTACCTTGAGTAGACCCCAGGCATGGTACAGGGTGAATCTTACTTAAAAATAACAAACTCAAGGAGCTTCTTAGAGAGTGCAATCATTCATTGGGAATGGTCAGAAATCAGGGTCTGCTCAGTGATTATGAAAAGTTACTAATTTGGTTTTGGAGCTACAGAATCTTACAGCTCCAGCATCACTCCCTCAAAGTCAGCCTATGAACTTTTCAGACCATCCTCATACTTATATAATGGTGAAAAAATGTCTCTAAATATTTTTATAAAACCCTATATCATTAATGAGGAAAGGTTTCTCTCTGAAACATAAAGTGTGAATTTTAAATAAAATCCTACATAAATATACTTATAAAACCTTATATAATTATAAATTAGTGAGAAAAAATTTCACTTTGAAATAAACAGTGTAAAGTTAAAATAAAGGCATGGATCCAATGGTTTAATTAAGAGTTTTAGAAGTTTCTAAATATTAGCAAAAATTTTAGAAACTCATGCTGGATCACAACAAATGGATAAAATTGTAAGGTTTTATTTTCATATGGATTTCTTGGGTGTATTGTTGCAAAGGTTCACAGTTGATGGGTGTCCTTCTAAAAACATAAATGATCAGAGCCTTATCAATGCATTTTTACAGTAAAATCATTAACAATGAAGGTAGCCACATCATGAGACTTGTGACTAACAAATGCCTGAGCCACCATATCTTTATTAAAGATCTATTCAACATTACCAAGCTTAAACCAATCATATCAGCGATTATGTCAAGAGTACTTAATGTGTATTGTCCTATCAAAAGATCAACTCGTAATGTAAGTAAGTCATGCCTCAAAGGGATGCAAAGGTCGATAGCCAAAAAAACGCTAGCTTGATAATATCCACTTATGGACTGGATTTGACCTTTTTTAATCTTTGAACTCTGCTGCTGGTGATTGAACTTTGTGGAGAAAGAATATCTCATATTGATGCGCTGTCTACAACAAGCACAGTAAGCGATTGATGAATGAAGCTTGAGGAAAATTCATAAATACATAACTTGAATTGGAACTTAATTCATGAATTATTTTCGATTTACAAAACCTGGAACAGAAATTTACAACAGTTCAAGGGAGGTAACTTTATTACGAAGAATTATCTCCCTTTATTTACAAGATGGCCAACTCTCATATTCTCATTATAATTATCATATCATGACAATTCATCGTAAAGGAAAGAAAACTGTGTAAATAGTCTATATTCTGAAGGAACATATTATCTAATAAAAATAATTTTCCTGTCTTTTGTATCAGATTAGACTTGTCTCACTTGAGACTTAGAGGAAAGATGTGTCTTACAAATCACAGCACGAAAAAATTTACTTGTTCCTCTCTCTCTAGTTTCATAAAATTAAGTAAGGGGGTGAAACAGGTAAAAAATTTATTTTAAATAATTATTAACCTATAGCTGGAGAGTAAGAGATGGATTCATACCTTTCTTAAGGGTATTTGTGCTTAAGCGAATATAACGAACCCAACGTGAATTAGAACTCGAGTCTCCGATTAACAATTTCCGAGCCATTATCTGTTACACCGCCCGCACACCCAAGCTTACAGTACTTCGTATTCTCAAGTGGTCACCCATTTAGGTGCTGGCCAGGCTTGATGTTGCTTAACTTCGGTGATCGTACGGGAACTGGTGTTGTAACATAATGTGGCCCAAAGCTATTTCTACCCGCACATCCAAACTTATAGCAACTGGTATTCCTAAGCGGTCACCCATCTAGGTACTGGCCAGGCTTGACGTTGCTTAATTTCGTTGATTGTATGCGAACTGGTATTGCAATGTGATGTGGTCCTAAGCTATTTCTACCCACACATCCAAGCTTACATCAACTGGTATTACCAAGCGGTCGCTTACCGAGGTATTGGCCAGGCCTAACGTTGCTTAACTTTGGTGAATGTGCGGGACAAATTTGTGCTCTAATGACTAAGCTTGGCCCGCTAGTTAAGAAGACGTTATCAACTACAGAACTTTGAATGCCAGATTTTGTGTTCTCGCGTCTTATGCATTAATCATTGGGCTACTTCACAGAGGAAACCATACTTTTTGTTTGGATTTCTTTTCAACATTGAGAGAGGAGTTATTTTTTTTATGGTGTTTCTCTTTTTCAATAAAATTCATATCGCCACACCTTAACCAATGGCAGAAATATTTTGAATTTGCAGACATTTCATCAGTGAACAATGAATACAAACAAGAAAAGGCTTTGAACAATTACGGATATCATTATTATAAACAAATAAAAATAAAATATAACATATTAATGAAAATTATAAATAGAATAAAATAAAACTATAATATTACTTGTTTAAAAATAAAATAAAAAAAAATAAAAAAATACTCCCAGCATGCAACAAAAACTGTTCCTGCTAAAAAGTTGCGTTTTTATTAAAGTTTCATCAGAGAATGAGATATGAAGAAAAAAAGAAAATTCTTGTAGTGGGCCGTGGCGGTTACCACTTGTTGAGGGTTCATGGCGTGGCTGTTAGCTGTTGTTGATAGAAGTCAGACGTAGAATAAACGCATGTAAGGTTCAAATACTCCTGCCCGCCGAGCCCAACTACATAAAAAGGTTGGACTTTGATTAAGTCCAAAGAAGAAGGTAAAGAAAGCAAACAAAACACAAGACTGATAATATATGTATATACAAATATATATTAATAACAAGTTACAATACATGGAAACAGTACAAAGGACGAAGTGTGTGTGAATATTCTGTATGTGCATGCGTGTGTGTGTGTATTGTGCTTAGCGTGTTTCCACGCTATCCCTTGTTAGCGTCTACATTTCGAGGTTGATATCTGAAATCCTGAAGGAAAAAGAGATAGAGGCGAAGAGTCAGCGGCTATTTATAGCCAGGGAAGAGAGACCCCTGGTGAAAGGGTTAACGGACTGAAGGAGGAGTTAACATCCTCTTACATTATTTACATTATTCGGACTATTGTCCTCATCTTCGTCGCTATATTTATTGCAACGTTTCGGCTGTTGTACGCTCCGGCCTTCTTCAGGTGGTTGGAATGTCGAACTGAACCTTTTATTTCTCTCACTGGGGTAGACTGTTCTTGTTCCACGTTTTCCTCTGAAAGTTCTCCACTGCCTTAACCGGGTATTGAACTCACACTCTTTGGATCCTGTCACTGGATCCAACCAATGCCTTTATTCACTGTGCCATGTGTCCTTGAGAACATCTGGGTATGAATTTCTGGGTATAATGTCTTCAGCAACCATTTTTACCAGTGCTCATATTGTAATTTTATTATCATTTCATTTTTTTTTTTTTTTTTTTTTACCAGAGCTCATATTTCAACTTTGTTGTTATCATTGCTTTTCTTTGGCACTCCTTATTACTGGTTCCCATATTGTATTTATTTCTATGTTTGGTCGGCTCAGGAGATTATGCCTAGCATATGTGCTGATTCCTTAAGTTTACGAATTTTCCAATGGTGTTTCTTGTCTTTGATCTCAACCTGATCCCACAGAGGGTAGTGATCTCCCTTTTCTCTCCATATGTGGTCAGCCACGCCTGACTTTTCCACTTCCCCTCGTGTTACAGCTTTCTGGTGTTCTTGAGGCCTTGCCTTGAGGGGCTGGCCTATCTCTCCTTTCTGTCTCTCCTCACAAAACATTGTAATAAATATGGCGACAAAGATGAGGACAATAGTCCGAATAATGTAAATAATGTACATAATATCTCATCTCAGAAATATAGAAAGATACTGAAAATTCTGGTATCCTTGAATTCAGAACTCTATAAATTATAATTGTTTAACAAGTCAAATGCACATGATTTATTAAAAATGAATAAAAAATTACAAAATTATCAAAATATATAAACCAGCTGCAATCCAATATTCATCATTTACCAATTTATAAATAATTATGAAAACAAGATTTTTTTATTCCCTATTTCATTAAAATATCAAAGAACTATAGAACAAATGTTACATTATATTTGGTTCGTATATATTTATAATCTTGCAAATATAAAATTAACCTAATAAAGATGGAGGTATTTTTCCGACAATACCAACAGGAAGAGCATCACCGGCCCATCGATTATCCAAATCACCCAGGACCAGGAAATCCAGCAGCTACAAAAAAAAAAAAAAAAAAAACATTCAAAAGTCAAAATAAAAGCACAAAGTATTAAAAGACTAATCATACATTTTTGAAGGTTGATCTTAAGATTGGTATTATTATGAATAAATAAAAATTAAATGATAATAAGGAGATTTATAAATAAAATAAAACAATAACATTTAAACCTTCTTTAAAAGAAATTTAAAAAAATAAAAATAATAAAAATACTCCCAGCATGCAGCAAAAACTACCGGAAATACGGAGATCCCACCAAAAGACGTGATATCCAATCTCTTCACCCAAGAACTGTCGGGATGACAACACATGTGTAACTTCCCACCGTGATAGGACTTGTAATATTACGGAGTAAATTGATCCCTTTTATAACATGTATATAAAAACAATTCTAATGTAAAATACACACAATAAACCTTGTTTAAAATAAACTAAATAAAAAATAAATATAATAAAATTACTCCCAGCATTTTTTTAAGCTTTTCACACCAAGCAAGGCGGGAGTGCCACTAAAACGCAGAAAGTTACAGAGAGTGAAGGTCAGGGGAAAAGACTGTGTATAGCGGGGTTTGAGGAAAGGATAAAAGAAGAACGGAGATCAAGGTAAGAGAAGATGGCGATTGACGTTGCATTTGAATTTTTGAAGATTGTAGTTATCAGGGAAGCAAGTAGGAGGAAGGTAGTTCCACTGTCGGGAAGCGCGAGAAAAGAAACTACTGAAGTAAAAGTGGCGATTGCATTTAAATATTTCAACGATAAAAGGGTGGGACCTAGATGCCAATCTAGTAGCACGCTTAAATTCATGTGGTCGGGGAATCAGGAAAAAAAAAGCCCATCAGAACAGTAGCCATGAAAATATTTGTAGAAAAGACAGAGGGAAGCCACATCACGTCTATAAGAAAGTGACTGAAGTCGAGCTGCTAAGTCAGGAGCGATTACATTGCAGATCCTTCTTTGGATTTTACCGAGAACCTCAAGATAAACGGCAGGGGCACCAGACAAGATATGGCAACAATATTCAATGCATGGTCGAATTGTAGATTTGGAGATGTATAAGATGGACTCCGACGAGAAAAAAAAACTTTTGGCACGACAGAGTGAACCGATTTTCCTTGAAGAAGAGGCAGCTATTGAATCATTGGAAAATGTAAGGCCAAAAAAGGCGCAGTTAGACATTCTCTCGGAGTCGAGCATCAACCATGGTGATGGTGGGCAAGGAAGTTTCCCTGTGGCGGTTAGATGAGAGCAGTTTAGTTTCGGAGGCATTAAAGTTTACAAACTGTTGAGATGTTGAGTGTTTCCGCGTGCGTGTATTGAAATAAGGACAAACACATACGTAGGGAAAAATACTGGTATATCTGAAGAGGTATTTACAACAGAGAGATTAGTAGTCAAACGAACGCAGGTTAGTCAGCAACAATCAGAAAGAGTATAGAGTCCAACTGTATCTTCCGTTAGAGAGACGGAAGTGTGATGGTCACCTGATCTTCCCAGAACTCTATAGAACTGTTCTATTAGTAGTAGAGAGATCAGTCCATTCTGATGAGAAGGTGGGTGCGCCCCCCCCCCGCAAAAAAAAATTGTTTTTTCATTGTGAAGAAAAAAAAATTTTTTTTTCAATATTTTTTCCTTTTCGGGTCCATCATAAATTGTTGCGTGGCTTTTCGCTTTCTACCAGATCTGCGCTGTTTTTGCTCTGTCTGTGGTACTTGTATCATATAATTCGTATAATTCGTCTTCTACTTGCGGAGTTTCTTCCGATTCTTCAGTACTCCTTTTCTTTAGCTGGTTGATGTGCTTTTTATCGGTAAATTTTTTCCCTTTTACAATGTACACCATATTCCCAATCCGCTTTTGTATGACTCCTGGTTCCCACGATGTCGTATTATTTTTATAATTCTTGAAAAAAACTTTTTCACTTGTGTGGAATTTTCGCTTAGGAACCATAGCGACTGGTGTGTGTATCTTATTTTTAGGTATCAATTTATCAATGCAGACCTGATCTTCCTTGCAAACATTAGCTCCGCAGGTGATAGGCTTGATGGGGCAGATTTATTCGGAGTAATGCGGTATACTTGCAGGAATAGCTGTAACGCCTTTCTAGTCGGGGTACCCCTTGCTTTTCCAAGAGCCCTTTTTAGCGTATCGACAAACCTTTCGGCTAGTCCGTTGCTGCATGGGTGATACGGAGGAATCCTCACATGATCCACTTGAAAATTCTGGCAGAATTCTGCAAATTCTTTGCTCGTGAATTGAGTACCGTTGTCACTAACCACAGTATCTACCACTCCAAACCTTGCAAATAATTCATGCAATTTATTTATCGTATTTTGTGATGTTGGCCTCTTCATTTGGAAAACTTCGGGCCATTTACTATAGCTGTCAACTACGACCAAATAATGCCATCCGTCAATTGGACCCGCAAAATCAATATGAATCCTTGACCATGGCCTGTCGGTTTTTGGCCATGGCTTCTGTAGAATTTGTGGTGATTTTGATGCCAAAATGCAGCCTTTACATCTGCCGACCATAGACGCGATGTCGTTGTCC